CGCCAAAACCTGGTGGTGGAGAATCATCATCCACCACCTTTTTTAGTTCGGTTTGGTATAGACATGAGGTTATTTCGAAGCAGAAGAGATGAAAAATGAGCAATGACCTCGCCAGGACTCGAAGCAGGAACCTCTCAAATATGCGCCGAGTGTGCCGGCCACAACACCATGAAGGCATGCTAAGACGGCGGGAGAAATACCTTATAACTTCTACTAAATAAAGCTATAGAGGCTGGAAAATCGTGTAAAATGTTAAGATTTTATAATTTTTAAAGCTGTTTTTTAAATTTAAAAATGACGTAATATGAATATTTGCGTCATTTAAAATATTTTAATTGAAATTATATGTTTGCGACCAAAATGGTTGCAGAAATAAATAGCTTATAAGAACTTTCATGTACGCGATGTATATAATGAAGAGAGTTTCATTTGGTTTTAAACTATTAGAGTATATTTGCAATACCATTTCTGGTTTTTACTCGTGTTGTTGCAACATAATGCATCATTCTTTGTAGTACTGAAATAAGTTTGTTTACTTCCTATTCTATTGTACATCATGAAACTGATTTCCTGTTTGAAACGTTAATGAACGAAAAGACTGATATAACGCTGTTTGCGGTTTATGTATACTTAAGTGATTCTACTTATTGATATTTTTTTGGTGATTGCTAAAACATTTCTCAAAACATGCCGATTAACTTATTAACTACAATTTTAAGGTGAATTTATCGTTTTCTTTGTGTTAAGATATATATTGTAATAATTAGAGCTGGAAAGCTTGCTGTATTTTACATATTTTACTTTATTCGGCGCTGTATCAGCAACAGGTGGTTACAGATGTTTTCTGCATTTATTCATTAACATCCATACTTTGCATTGTGAGCATAAAAGAGTCACAAAACAGAAGAGATTTTTCTGTTTGCTGCGCACATTTTCCTGTGCCTGATAGAATAGGTGATGAAATCAAAATTTTTTCAGCATTCGGAATAACCCGATTTATATATCGTCACAGACGTTAGCGCGTCTCTGTAGCCTGTTGCTCTGAAACTACGAAATTCTGGTCTTTGTGTATTTGTAAAATCCTCGTATGGCAACCTTAAAGAATTCCATGAGCCCACGAAGCTTCTATCGAATGGTTTCTCGCTTATTCGAGGCTCGCAGTGCACTCTGGGTATTGTTGTTGTCATATATTTGCTGCAACCAATGGGCTGCGGCCGTTCTTTGCAGCCTTTCGAAAACCACTTCTTCAACTTCTTTGGCTTCCATTTTAGTAGTCTTTTCTGCCGACACAAAAATATAGTCACTGCGCTCACAATGAAGCATATGGCGCATGCGAGCGCAATCGCGGCGATCTCCGTCGCGTACAAGAGATAATTGCTAGATGTCTGGACAGTTCTGCATAAAGCTGTTTCGTTAACTCGTGGCTGATTAGAGTACAACGTATCTATTGGCATTGCCGTGATCCTGTCTCCTATAGGCCTGTGTTCGACATCAATCAAGCACACATCATAATGAGTCTGTGATGCCAGATCTGATATTCCATATTCATAAAGCTGGCCGTTCGTCTCGCTTGTTGACGTGATATCGTAGACTGGAATGTCTGTATAGTTGTCTGAGCCCGTCCTTCGGATTCGAATCGTCCATTCATGACGAATGGATGTCTCTTCGTCAGTTGGACTGAGGGGCTCCAGAACTTTCAGCTGCCACCTTATTGTTATTGCTGTCGCGGATACACTCATTTCATCGACTTCTGTTCGGATATTACTGCTACTGAATAAGGAAGATCCTCCACCTGATTCCAGAAGACTCTCATTAGCTTCTCCAGGTTGGGTTTTCTTAGTAGTTACTTTCCGACATTTGTTAGGTTCGATGGTATATTTCCCGTTGTGAACTATGGCCACACAAACCACATAGCTGGTATAAGGCTGAAGGTGGGTGATGCGTTGCATCAGCACGGATTCTTTACCCAGAGACTGTTGGGTAGGGACCAATGTCATTTGATAAGGACTGTCAGAGGCTCGGCGATAGACGATGGCCCACTTTTTATCATCAGTTGCGTCTTTCAGCTTGGGATCTTGTACCTTCCATGATATGGTGACGGAAGTTGCACTGCTTGTTAGCTGTATAACATCGTAGTCTCTGTGACCTGAAACAGAGAGGTAGTAATTACTAAAGTTGCATCGTTTTTTTTGAACTTCTACATGCTGTTCTTTTTTTTGGTGGTGGTGGTGCGCAATTATTAATTTTATGTATATTTATAGTTTTTTATATACAAACGAAATGCCTAACCCACCTAAGTAGTCCCATAAGATTCTGTTCAGCAAAATGCCGGAGAATAATATGCTTGTAGTAAAAGAGATATTTAATTGAGGTACCTTTCGATATTGATACGGCATTCTTATAAAACTAACTACGATTTAAAATGAAATTTTGCTTTTCTGTAGAACCTGAGTGTAATCTAGACATTGTTGATCATCGGTAATGGTTTTTATATCGTTTGGTATATGTGTCTTTAAACCGATAATTTTTTAGAGTCATTACAGTCGGAGCTTATTATAAATAACAAATGTCGGGTTAGCAAAAGTATTAATTTCAGTTGAACCATTGTGTGGTATAACCATGATTACATTGAATTTATATAGGAATAAGCACAGATTTAAGCCATAACCATTGCAGATTTATTCTTGTTAATTTGCGATCGTTGTAACCAAATAAATAGAAATCAATTACCGCCATCCATTATGTAACTTTATTTTAATTAGACGCGATTAGTGTTCATCTGCTTAATCATTATGAGAACCATCGTCAGCCCAGAAGTGACATCATTTACTACGTATCTACAATTACTTTTTTATCGGTTTTAAAAAGCAACCTTAAAAGTTTTGATTTTCCAACAGACGTAATCAAACTTTTCGAATTCCACAGATGCAGCCGCCTTGCTAATTACCAACCAGATTATGTAACAGAAACTACAGCAATATATGTTAGAAACTCCCAACAATCTAATTTAATCTTTTCGCGGATGTTTTAATTTCAGATTTTAATTTTCTCGAATGCTGTCCACAAAGTATGGTAATCTTCTAGTTATCGTTATTCAGTTCAAATTTCCCGTGTTCGATTGTATCATTAAAACTTTTTTTGTGCGCTTCTGTCTCGAATATCTTATAAAAATTTTCGCATTGCACATTAACTCATAATTGTTTACTTGTGTCATGCTACGCTGCAGTGGCCACTGGCATTTTCATTTTACTTAGGGGGCTCATACACCTTAAACCCCTTATGATCTTCGAATATGTGACTGTTGCAAGAATTGGGATAAATCATTTATTTTAAAAGCAATTTCTTCCAACTTTTTTACAGCTGACTACATAATATAGCTGCTTTAGAAACTAGTAACCAGAAAGTTTGTGTTGCCACAAATATTTTTGTAATTTAATCCGCTTTGTGACAAAAGTTTTCGTCATGTTTCCACCTTGCGCGCATGATATTTTAAAAATGGCTAAGGTACATACTTGAAATTCACTGGAAGTCTTTAATGGGCACTATTTTCTAACTGAACCGAAAATTTGATGAATATTGTAGTATTAAAAAAAATTATGCACGAAAACATTATTTATTTTTTTAATAAAATACATTTTATAAACTCAACTCGAAATAAAATAAAAAATTAACATGAAATTCTTAGAATTTTAGGTTCACAGTAGTTTCCAAATGTTATAACAGCTATATATTAAATACGAAATTAAATTATACGACAGAATGTTTTAAACTGTGCGCGCAAGGTGGAAACTTGACGAAAAGTTTTGTCACAAAGCGGATTAAATTATAAAAATATTTGTGGCAACAAAAACTTTTAGATTACTATTTCCGAAAGCAGCTATATTATGTAGTCAGCTGTAAAAATTTGGAAGTAATTGCTTTAAAAATAAATAAGTTATCCCAATTCTTGCAACAGTCACCTATTCGAAGATGTTATGGGTTTGAAGGTGTATGAGTTCCCTTAAATTTCTATCTTAGCCTCTCTTTTGAAGAAAATGAAACAATGACAAAGCAAAAGCTTCATATGTAAATTAAATGAAATTTATTGTTTTTGTATGCTATCTCTATGAGTGTTTTCTCTTGCTTTCCCAGGTACTGTTCAATACCAATTTCCTGTACTGTGTAGTAAGAATATTAATTGTAATCTCATTAACTATACTAAAAATTAACTATTAAAAAATCGTGAGCATTACCTTTTGCTAAGTATCGGAAGGGAAAAGTTGCGTTTTCTTCAGGGCATTCTATTTCCCATGGAATCTTCTCCAGTTTAATTTCCTTGAGACGTTCCGGAGAGTTACAAGTTGGCAGACGAATGCTGGTGCTGTTGGCCAGGGACCAGTCGTAGAGCCAGATGGCAGAACAATCGCAGTGAAAAGGGTTTTCTGAAAGGGATAAACACATCAGTCACTTACGGATATCTTTTTGAGTCTTTTTTAAAGAAACATTTTTGAAAAATCGTAGTATGTTTGATATAGTATGCTGGGCCAAATGCATTTTAGATCCTTTAAATTTTTAAAGCTTCTGCTACCTTGAATTTACTTTCTTCGCAGCTTCTGCTTCTTTCCCTCTAACTGTTAATCTAATTTCATCATTAATAGGGTTCTGGTCGGAACATTTGCTATTTTTTTAATTATTTCGTACGATGAAATAAAAAAAAAATGGAAGCAGATAAAAGTATTCTAAATGCTGCAAAATTGCGAAAATCCATAAAATATTTTTCGAAAATTTTGTAAGTTCCTTTAAGTTTATATAGTCAATACCTTAACTAACAACAACACTTGTGGAATACTCGAGAACAAATTTACTTTCAGTTGAGAATGATTCTCACTTTTCGGTGCGAATTGTTAAACTGTTTCGATAACATTTTCATTACTAAAAGTTGCTGGTGATTAATATGTTCATGTGGGATAAAACAGCGTTCCCTGACTAAGTGGGCTTATTACTTTGTAGGCAAACAAAAAGTTAAATTTTACATTTACAGAACTTTCCTTCTCTTATTGTTGAAAATATTTTCATATAATTGTTTACTTCACTTTGAGAATACTGGAAATACTTGTCTATAATCAATATATAAGGAGATAAATGCTGTAGACGCCGCCTTTGAATATATGTGTTCCACAAGCGGCAAAGCGATAATGAGATCGCTAAGCATTGGGCCGGGTTCGAATCCTGACAAATGAGTTAACTGCATCGTCTTCCACGAACACATCCTGCCAATAGGCAGATAGCGCTTGAGTCGCTTTGCCTTAATCAATTAACCCTTAATTTTAATCTAAGAATGTACTTAAACACGAAAAATAACAAAAGTAAAAAAATTAATCAAATCAAAAGGAATAAAATTGAGAGCTACTTGCTGTAAAAATTACAGTAAAATAAATATAAAAATCTAATGTGTACACCACATGATTTCCTTGTACGGAATATTAAATTATACGCCTTTTTTCTTGCATTTCGTTTAAACTTATTGGATTGAATTAAATCTATTTCGCCGACAGCGCGTAAACCACAATAGAATAAATGCATTCTTTAAAATTCGCTCTAGTATTTGTTTACCATAGCGACACTCTGGCGCTAGGTTTCAATTAACAGGATTATATTTCGTCATATTATAACTCAGAATGCACCAAAATTTATATCATTTAAAGATAGAATTATCTAAATCGTTGCCACATGTTCTATTCAAATACTATAATAAAGCTAGAATGATGTATAAAAGAAATTAAGCAACAAAACAAAAAAGAAACAGTTTTTCACAGACGATTGAGTATTTCTCATTCAATTAATTCAGTTTTCACTTCGCGAGAAGGCAAAAATACATAAAAACTCAAAATATCTGGATTAAAAAAGGACGAAGTAAAATCTTAACACTTATTTCCTCGAAAAATTCCAGAAAGGATTAAGCATAACTTAATTCGCAATAATAAATGAAGGCGTTATCTTTGTTGTTGCGAAGCTACGTTTCTCTAGATTGGCAACCAAATCCATTCTGTTTCAAATTGAAACAAGCATGGCCGCCATCAAAAAATTATTAGGCTTAGCGGCACTTAAACAACTTTAAAATTGTTGATAATTCTAAAAATATTGCATAAAAACCTTAACCGGAAGATAAGAACAACATAATTCAATCATTTTTAAAGCAAAAAATGCAAAATTTATAAACGTATAAGCGTAAAGAAACTGTGATCACTGAGCCGGGTAACAGAGTGGATATATGTATAAATATATTTATATACGTGCGGCGCGGCCGATTGCAACCAAAATACGAGGTGCACATCTACATATTATAGTAGTCCTATGTACAAAATTTCAACGTTCTGAGGCTACTCGTTTTTGAGTTATGCGAGATACGTACGTACGTATGTACGTTCGTACAGACGCCACGAAAAATTCTCTTCAGAATTCATTTTAAAGCAGTTTTATAATTTTTTTGGAGGAAAAGATTCTTTTATTCTGTCCTTACTTTCAGATATCACGCAAAAACATCGTTAAATTGCATTCGAAAGCTGTCAAAATGGATATTTTTGTTGATAAATGCTGCCTAAAACTTTTCGCGATTACTATATTTCCTTTTTGCTTCGTACAAGAAAGTAAAAATAACAATAAAACTATTATCAATTTGAGGCAAACTGTACTGCTTTGCATACAAAAACTTCTATATTCCATGCTATTACATATCGACTCTGCTTTGAATATTTTGTTTATTCATTCGAATTTACTTTCTTCGCTGCTTCTGCTTCTTTCCCTCTAACAGCTAATCACCCATTTTCTGACAATGCACCTCTCAAACTATTGTGAAACAGCCTCATTTCTAATTGCAACATCGTTAATTCGAAAGATTGGGTTAATTGGTTGCTGCTATTGTGTTCAATGCTCCACCTTCTATAATGCAAAGAGCAATTGGCATGGGACTTTGAAAGGGGGGATATTTCCTTCATTTAAGGGGGAAAAAAATGTTCTTCTAACTCAATGTCGGACAATTTTTTTCTTCTGCTTTATGCAAATAGTCTGGCTTTCTGCAAACGGCACCCGATCTTAAAAAGATTGGTTATCTTTCCGGAAGTGCTGATTGCGTACGCAGAGATATTCGGAATACATTTAAGAAAATGACAATAGCTCATAATTATAATTTCAGTGAAAATTGTTTTATATTTTATTGACATGAATATTTTAATTAGATACTAGTTGCTCATTTTCTGATTTTGCGTTTGGTTTTTGTTTGATTATGAATTGTGTTTTGCTTTTATTACTTCCTACGATATTATAAGTTGTTGTTTCCTGCCACGTAATAAGGTATTATGCTCTGCAAAATACTAAAACGTCTTTGAAGTTTTGTCGCCATAATGGTAACCTTGTTCATATATCACGACGATTGAATCTTTTTTAATATTTAATTATTTTATATTCGATTGTAATTGAGATCTGGGCCCGACGTCAAGTAAAAGCAATATTGTAAAATGTGGTTTTACTTACTACCTTTTTTTTTACCCCTAACAAAACTTAGCTCTAGTTAAAACACTTAAAGTTTAGCTCTAATTAAAATACTTAAAAAACATAATTATTGAATACAAATCTGCATTGAAATACTGTTTATGTATTTCTTATTCGGCCGCCCAGCCATTATAGTAATTAGTGACACTAACTGCTGTACTACTAGCTCCGGCTTTGAAGCTTAGAGAAGTCATGGATGTTTGTAAGCGTATAGTGTCTGTGCGACAAAGGGGTACTTGAAATACAGGGAGAGACGAAAGTGCTCTGGAGAAGTTGGTGAAGAGGGATGGGGGGCTCTAGTGTAGAATTGGGTGCCTCTTCCATTAGCGACATTTTTTTTTTTTTTTTTTTTTTTTTTTTTTTTTTTTTTTTTTTAATTTTGGCGATGAAACCTCACTTCTGGTTACCATGATTGTTTTAGCTTCCTGATTTTATTTAAATGAAAATAGACTGATGTGTACATGGACAAATTTAAGGCAGTGCGTAATTGCCTAGTTTGTGCAATTCTAAGATGTTTTTTTTCAAGTGAAAACAGATCGATGTGTACAGAGACACAGAGTTTGTGCAATTCTTTAACTTCTTAATTTGGTTTTGTTTAGCGGCCATCTTGAAATTGGGCCCTTCTAGCGCCGATCTTGGCGTTAAAAAAGAATCGCCAAGAAACAAGGGGCACCCAATTGTAAACTTTTACCGGATAGGGATCCAGTGAACTGCTCCCTTCAGTGTTTTCCCTCAAAGTTGAGGCGGAATTGCACAGTTAGTGTAGCGGGACTATACTTGCACAACCAGTGGTAAAATTCTTGGTTCCGTCCGCTTCTACCTTTACCTGAATTTTCCATCCTATTTAATTGAGTTATATTTTGGGATAAAAGCGAGAGTTGTTTATTTCCGTTCGAACTTTGTTAAATCTAGTATGTAAGTTGATTTTCTACCTACCTCTCTACCTGCCTTTTTGTAGGAATTAAAGCATATATTGCGATATAGTATATTAACTCATTAAATTTTTTGAAGTATTCTGAAAATATTTGAAAGATCAAAATGCGTATGCATTCCATTGATGTATGAAATTTAAAAATAAAGTTTATTTTTCATATATTTTGTCTATCGTATGGGATTCGTGCATTCGTGTATGCCTAACATTTGATTTGGGTTATTTAAGTGCGGCAAAGCACTCGAGGGCTATCTGCCTTGCCTTTGTGGAGGACTTTCTACGGGAAACTGGGTCGTATCCTCGTTATGCTTGTGTAAAACCACGAAAACTCCCATGCAGGCCGACCGTTCGCGGGGAAGCGAACCCCGGACCGAACTTCCAGTGTCCAACGATTTTACCGCTTGGCCGCTCTTTGTCTGCCTGTGTACTGAAACGAAACTTGTTCGTTTGAAATGTCGCCGTGTTGTAAAATAATCAGCCGTACTAAAGGCCAAAAAGCTGCAATAAATATAACAAGGAAATCTTCACGCAGTATTTTTAATGTTAAAAGCAATGACGTTGATTTATTTCAATGAAGAGGATCAAATAAATAACTGCTTTTTGTACGCATATGGCATTATGTGCTGTTAAGTGTTTTCTTTCACAGTCATGTGTAATACTTTGTCCTTTGAATTAATAATTTTAATAAAATATAAATGACGCATATTTTAAATTATAAACATTCATATTAACGAAAAAAATTTAATGACTAATAAAGAAAAGTTAATTTTTTTTAATAAAAAATCTGGTAGGAAAGTGTAGACATCAATTGTAAGTTTCAATTAAATCAAAATTCAGTCTAAACGACGGTATTGTATGCATTTCAAAAAGACCGTCGACTTTTTGGTTTCGGGTCCCGGTTTTGGTTATCATCTCCATTTGTATTGCACGAAATTGCACACTTTTTAACACAAGTTTTACATT